TTCACTGATTCAGTTTAAGATAGCAAGGAACAAGAAACTCAATAATTTAAAACACTTTTAATTTAGAATTTTAACATGTCAATCAAGTTTATTTTCTAAAAGTATCTTAAAGTCTTATAGAAAAAAAAACAGAAAACTCGAAATGAAGTTCGGAAGATTTAAACAAAAGGAATAGAATTAAATGTCACATTCCAAGCGTGTCGAATGTACTTCTGAATCGTTTACGTCGAAGACATTTCGATTTAATTTTCAACAGCTGAGGAATGTCCTTGATGCCTCGTAAAAAAGGCGGAGACAAGGACTCGGAAAAGGAAAAAAAGTAAAAAATATAGTAACGTTAGTGAAAAAAAGTGGGAGTGAAATCAAAGCGAATTCACAACTTTCATTCCATTTACAAAGAGTTTGAGATAAGGGGAAAACCAATGGCATGCCGTTATTGCACGTAGAAGAAGACAAGGTATGAGAACATTCAGCATAACCTTTGCCCTTGTCAACTAGATTTTTACGCTTCTCTATTTTTTTCCCTCATATTTTTTATTTGCCTTTTTGTATTTAACCACAAGCCAACCACTGTCCGAATAGGATGGAATGACTTTCTCTCGTTCCATTTTGTTCGAAATTACTTTCTGAAATCGTATTAAAGGCTCTTCTACCGTGAATAATATCAAAGTTTGTCAGTGACATTTATTAAAAATTCTTTATCGCATCAAAAGTTAGCGTTTCAATGAAATCATTAGTTGAAGTGAGCGATATTTTTAGTCAAATCTATTTTACGTATAGGTAGCAGTAAATAGCGAGATTGCTCGTGTTATAATAAGCTTTCCTCTCATAATAGTGGAGTTGATAATAATGATAATATTCGGGTGCGCTGAACGAAAGTTTGTTCAGCATACAGTGGGTAGAAGGAGGTGAAAGAGTATGGAGTGTAGAGGTTAAAAGCTTGTTCAATAAGAGCCACAATGAAAAGGGTAGGAAAGAGAGGTACAAGTGGAAAAAGAAAGGACGCTTTTCAGTAAACATTTTTACGCTATTACGAGTATCCCCAAGCAGATATTAAGTAAACATTTGCAGCTGTAGAAAATCACCCGAAATATGTAGTGTTCTAGTGATACCCTTCAATTTCTTTGCGCTGAAAATTGATTGATGCTATTATTCTAGTGCTGACTCACGGAATAAAATGAAATCCAAGTTTAGGACAAGAGACCACTCTAATATTTTTTCATAAATAAATTTGTAATGTAATTAATCAAATTTTTTGCGAATGTTTGATTGCAAGGTGGTTGAATTTTCTAATCGTTGAGATTTAATCAAATAATTTGACCTAATAAACGTTTGATGTGAAAATAAAAGCAATTTTCTGACGTAACTTAAAATCAATAGCTGAGCATCACCTTGGATCAATCGTGATCGTGTTGAACAGAGATGTACGTAAGAAATTTGTTTAGAAACTTACAATTGATTTAAAAAATCTTAACCAACGGAAAGAAGTATTGTAAAGTAATCAAGTGAAATATGAGTGCAAATCTAAGAGTTTTTAGAGGAAAATGAATCATTAAACTGATCACGTCTCATGAATTTATGTTACGGCCGGTGATCATTTCGAAAACCCAGTTAGAAAAGTGTGAATCTGAGCGATGTGCCTCAGGGTGTGATATCTCAAAAACCATTGAAAATATCGACTCCAGATTAATTTCATTTTAAAGATAAGAAAATGAAAAAGATCTGGAAGAAATTTGAACAAATTCGGTCATGCCGTTTTTTGTTTATAACAAAAAGAGTACAAAATAAGTTGTGTAAAGAAAACAGTTGAAATAAATTCTATTTTTTAGATAAATTAAACGATGACAAAATTACGGATTTCAATTAATGGGAAGTTCGTCGTCAGGACACAAATTAAGCCCAGACCCATTTTTACTAAAAGTAGACAGCAAATGTGCGTGCCCGAGGCGTAAAAATTGAACTTATTTTGATCTTATTCACCCTGCTTCAACATTTAATTTCAGTTTGAAATTATGAACCTGCAGGTTCATTTTATATAATAAAAATTGCGCTAACTTTAAACTGGTAACCCTGCATAATTCCACTTTCAGGGCTTAAGGTTCAACTTAGGTTATTCATTTTTAGGAACTAGTTTTGAAACTACTTTGGCCCTAACAAACCTGAATCCAAACTACTTACATTCTATTATCCTGAAAATGAATCATCTAAGTTGAACCTTAAGCCCTGAAAGTGGAATTATGCAGGTTTACCAGTTTAAAATTAGCGCAATTTTTATTATATAAAATGAACCTGCAGGTTCATGATTTCAAACTGAAATTAAATCTTGAAGCAGGGTGAATAAAATCAAAATAAGTTCAATTTTTATGCCTCGGGAATTTAGGTGATTGATTTAATAACAAACAATCTTACAACTCAACCACGCAACCTATTATTTCCGACAAATCAGGATTCGGGAATCGATTGTTCTAATCATTCAGTTTTGCTTTGTCGTAACAATGAAGCATTCCGTTTAATAAATATTCTGAGTGAAAAAATATTCTATAAATACTTAGACCCTAAAATTTTTATGTAAATTGTTTAAAACTCTATTCTTTCAAATGAATCAAACAATATTTATTATTTGAAGTAATAATAATAGCATTAATTCAAACAGTAATGATTTTCATGGATTCATTTTTAAAGAGTAATTCTATTCTTTTTCTGGAATACAAAATTCTTTTCTCATATCAATATATTTTTTCACACAAAAAAATATTAAACTATTTGTTGCTCGTTAGAACAGAATACATTAAAATTACTTTGTCGCGCAAGTTACAATTTCTCAAAAACAATAATTGCACTATTTAAAGTTATTTTGAAGCCTAATAATTATAAACTGGTTAGAGAACTTTTCAGTAAAATTTAGCGTCTTTTGAGAACTATAATAGAACGATATTAGAGCGTAGTTGTAGGAGCAAATTAGAAAAAAAAGAAAAAAGAGCACTATGTGCGTGTAGTTGAGTTTCTTTTCGTTCACTGCAGCTTCCGTTATAGTATGTAAACAGAAGATAAAATAAATGAAAGTAAACATAAGTTACGGTCATTCGAAATGAGCTGATAAGTTATTTACCTCATCAAAATACATTATTGGAGTAAGTAAAATCAAATAAATATGATCAGAAAGAAGAAGTTCAGAGCAAGAATAGTGAGAACATTAGAACTGCATCCATGGAAGAGCATAGAAAGAATTACTTAAAAAGGTGTTAACCTTTTCAGATTCGGTTCACTGAACACTATGTCATAATTGGAGTAATTGTTTTTAACCAACTTTACTAATATATTATAATATAGATTTTTTTGAAATATTGATTTTACAGCAGAATACATTTTTAATTTCGAATGAATGTTTCTTCATTTATGCATGAATTGGTTCAAGCCTCATCAACTTGCATGAAACATTTTGTAGACTCTAATGTTCGCAGAGAGGAAGCGAATTCAACTACCTGGTTGATAATAATTTGAGCAGTCGACACATTTGCTATCGATCGCCAATGTTTAAGCTACCAGTGATCGAATTCTGTATTACAGTGAATACATATTATAAATTCATCGTTTGCAATAATTGGATATTGAAGATTGATTAAATCACCTTGACATAATCCCATTTCAATTTTTTTATCTTGATGCAAAGTTTAATTTAATTGAAAAATGCAATTTTACCAGCTGAATATAGTAAACATTTCATAGTATCCAATCAGACACGAAAGCCATCACATCATTACTCAATCTATTTTCCATGTTGTAGATTGATTCAAAGGGTTGATTGCAGTATGCAATTGACAATGTGTTGCCGACTACCAACTTTATTATTTATACCACCTCATAAAACTTGTAGCGTGTTATGGTCTTGTACTTGTCATCAATGCACTCTTGTCAAGTCTAACCACGAATTCCGTGATCCTTGGTGATGCTTATAAATTTTATTGCTGCAAATAAAAAAGCATAAGTTTAACACAATGGTAGCATTTATGAGTAAAACAATGTAACAATGAATTTTATAAAATCATACCGTCTTTACGTGGTTAATATTAAAAAAATATTTAAAATCATTTTTTTGCAATAATAAATCTTTTTAGAAATCTTGAATCTATACAAAATTATAAAAATTTTTCAATAATTAATTGACTGATATTTGATTAATGCTTGATATTTTACTTAATTTCTACAAGTATACACGAATTTTTATTCGTAATATAATGCGATAATAGTAATAATTTATCGTACTTACACTTAAAAAAATAATTACTTCAATAAAGATTATAATTTTATTCCTGTAGAATTTCAATTTGAAAGAATTAATTTGAGAATGTTTATGACGATAAAGAAACCACTAGTTTAATAAAAGAAACTATCTACGTGTTTAAAGGATGATGAAAAAAATTGTGTTCAGTCATGTACAAATTTGAAATTTATTGCATTTGCGTGAATGCAATATTTATAATAATTTGTATGAAACAGAATGAGACAGTTGAGTATTCTCTTCGATGTCAAAGTCTGTTATGAAAAAGGTATATTTCTTTTCGTTGAGAAGAAGTAATAAAGAGTAAAGAAGAATAGTTTTTGTAAATAAAAAAGATTTTTATACACTTTAAAAAATGACGTGCCTTAATTTCTGCGTGCAATCGTTTCTTTATGTGAGAGAATAAATACACTTTATCACAACTTGAGTGAAGAACATAATCATGGCAGTAGTTGAAGCATGTTAAAATGCTTCTGTAATGCAGTATTTATACGTGTGAGGTTGTGAAATATTTTTTTCTTATCGTCTGCTCTCTCGACACTTTTATTAACCCGTAAACATACACAAAGTTGGCTCACAAGTGAAGAGATATCTAAAGGGTGAAAATGTTTTTCCCTTGATTCGTATTCTTTATTTATGTTATAAAGATCGAATAATGATAATATTTAATTGAGTCGTTAATCATCCTGTATGTGACGTTATTATTTTCTTTTTTTTACAGCTACCATACTCTATGGAGCTGGATTATGATGTCGTCGGAGTGCAGGGCGGTAACCCTGAAGCAGTGGCTCTCTTACGACCACAAGTCAACGTTTCAGCGAAAGGGGAAGTGCCTGTGACACTTCAAGTCTTCAGAATCAGAATCCCTTGTTCGGGTCTTGTGAGTGCCGAGATCCCCATGGCTTTACGGTTAAACGTTTCTGCACCGCCAGGCACTAAGTACAACGACACTTCCTTAGTCTTTAAAAGAAATAAAATATGCCTAAAAGGTTAGATTGATTTTCATTTTATCACTTAACTTAACTTTTTAGTTTTCATCAAAGATCATTCTGTCGAAAAAATATTATGAAATATGATTAATAATATGATATAATTTTTTAAAAATTCATGAACATTTCCAACAATTTATTCCGACTTATAAGTGACAGCTCTTGATAAACGAATAAAACATCAGATAGTGCTAAAATCTCATCAAGTAGAAACATTTACGCTCAATTAATTTTATTATATAATTTATAATTATTATTTTAATGTATTTTGCCGTGACATCTCCGTTATTAGCTTCCCAGAAAGAAGTTATTTTAACGGGTCCAATTTTGCGAATCCTAAATTTTGACGTATCTCTACGTTTTAAGGTTCGTGGCGTCGAATACAACAGTTTTTCAGTGGACGTCTGTGAAAGCATGTATGTATGTGCTGTCGGAATTATTCTACGTTTCGATTATCTTCACTGATAGAAGTATTTCTTTGTATTCAACATAATTTATTAGTAGCTAATAGATATGTTATTTGAAAAAGAAATTAAATGAACATTTGTTAACAGTTAAGAAATTATTTATTAGAGTAAATTTATTTGGCTCAATGAATGATTTCTTAGCTGCTAACAAATATTTATTTTTTCATCTAAATACTATGATTGGACTCGATGGTAAGGTAGAATAACGGTAAAGCATAATCAAATGTTAGGTTATATTATGAAATAACTTTTATTTATTGAAAATTTTTAAATAGAAAACAACGGTTTTGTAATTATTAAAATTGATATTTTCTTCTAAATAACAGCTCGACGAGCAATTACATTGTTACCATTTAATGTCGTGTGTAGAAATCTTTATTTGTATCAAACAAATGCTAAAAAATAATTTTAATGAATTTATTTAGTTCCACCAAATAAATTCTTCTATCATTGTTGAAAACATAAAATGATATCGACATGAGACCAATCACATTTGATGCATAATTACACAACGTAGAACTGATTAGATTTTCAGCAAAATCGGTCCAACCATTTTTTATGCAGAATAAAAAAACTCAAAAAATTGTAAACTGGCTGCATTTTGCAATTCAAATAAAATTTTTACGCTTGATTTTCTAATAATAATTATAATAAATATCATTATAATAATAATTAATGATATTTATAATAATAATAAATTATTTGAAAACAAAAAAAATCTTATCATCCTTACCACTGGGAATTCGTGTAAGTCTTTCAGGTTGCACTCAACCACTAACGAGCACTAATATTTTTATTTTATTTTTCAATATTTTAAGTTCAGTGATTTAGAATTAATTGATTTTATAAATAAATTATGTCTCAATACCCAAAAGGTAGCATGAAATAGTCTCAATCATTTTCATGAAAAATTCTTTAAATTAAATTAAATACTGATGAATAAAATTTCTCTAAAATTAATTTAAATGTCAAGTATCAATGATATTACAATGTGAATATAAATTATTGAAACAATTTAGAAAATTTTCTCGAAAAAGCTAGTCGAAAAAGTTGATTAACTTTTTTCAAATAAAAATAATTTGTTTTAAATTGTACTCTAACAAAACCAAAAGTTTTTTAAACACAAATTTAACTTTAAATTAAACCATGTACAAGATATCTTTAAACTTCAAAAAGAAATCTCCTGAAGAATAATTTATGCTTGTAACAAATTTTGCTCGAAGCTAATTAACTATCTTTCAAAGAATATTTTTCCAACTTTTATCTTTAAATATGAAATTAAAGAGAGCAGATTAATAACTAACTACTAAATCAAATACTAATTCCAATATTGAAGTTGCATTCTTGAGCTAAATAATTGCTGTTGGAAATAATTTAGAAAGTAATCGATCAAGTGTAAATATTGTCCGAAATTTCAGTATGGTTTTCAATTACTTACAGAAGAAGCCCTCAGGCATTTTCCGGATACTTTCACCATGAAGGGTCCAAAAGATTTTCCTGAAGATTTTTCTGAATTTACCCTTGCGGCATTTGTATTTCTCTCCCTCTTTGTTTCTTGTTTCTTTTCTGACATCCTGGCTCTCCCCTTATTTACGCCCAAGTATCATGCAACAAGCCCATGGGTCCTCTCTCTTGATCTCCGTCGAATGCGCCCCTTGATCTTGATTCTCGATGGCTTTAAGAGTTGGATCTCTTTCATTAAATCCAGTAGACGAGATTCAATTTTACCTCGACGGATTGCTTTTCCCTGTTTCGTCTCACCTTGTAACCGGATCTGCTCCTGTCTAGTCTTCGTGAACTAAAAGGACTTCCCATGATACGACACAAAATTCTATCCATCTCATATTTTTTTTCTCTTAAGTCAAATGAATTTTTCTAGTATTTCTGGATTAACGAATAATATTACTGATCGGTAATTGAGAAAATGAGATACCTTTAAGTAAATTAAAAGATGAACAGAACGAAGCCAATGAATGAAAAAATATTCTTTGCAATACAGATTTCAAGATACTCCAGAAGGATACGATATTAAGATTAAAATCCTTTTTAATTCATGAGTTATTAATTAGCAAACTTTCATCCGATATTCAGTCTTAAGAAAAAAATTGTAAGGCAACGGTCAATTAGTTTTAAATTAAGGCTCATTAACTTTTACGCCTTCACGATAAAAATGTTTCTTGAAGTTTAAGTAAATCTTTTTTTTATTTCTTAGTGTAATAAGGTTGTCTGAAATACCCGAGCTGGCTCATGAATCAAATTTTTACTTGATAATTTCAAGCTTGGTTAGCGTAAGAAAAAAATTAAATAGAAAAGTTAAGTAGAGTATAAAAAACGGTCCTCGTGCAAATTGGAAAATGACTCAATCCAAGATAGAACGTGAACAAGTCGTCCAACTTATCAGAAAAGCCGTTGATCCTCAAGGACTTAATTTTGACCGAGTGTAAATCTCGGTTAGTGACTGTTTGATCGTGGCTGACCACTCACCACTGTTGCTACTGAGCTAACAGAAAGGGCAAAGGGAAGGAGAGAAGGTCGAGTAGTAGAACGATTCGGTACGGGACCAGACGTCGCTGTAGTAACAGCCTGAGCAATCTTAACGCCTCGCCAACTTTGTCTCCAACACTTCCAAGTTTCGAATATCTTCTTGGTTCTTGGTTATAACTTCAAACTGATTCAAATGCAAAGCTGAATGCCCCCAAATAACATTGAATTAAAGAAAGTTTGTCCAAACAATCGAACGTTTATATTTTTTTGTCGATTGTCACGTTTCAAGTAGCAATGTATTTTTCTTCAGAGTTTATCAAACTATGCTGTCGAATATTTATTCTACCAAATCTGTGACAAATATTTTTTCAATTCTTTATCTCTGCAAGCCGATAAAAGATATTTAGATTAAAAGCATCAATGTTTATATAAAAAAGCTAAAAGGGAAATCGAACCAATGGCATGAATGTTTTTTTTTTAAATTAGGATATTGGTGATTTTTATTAACTTTATTAAAACACAATCCAATACAATTGGTAAAACCAAGGCAAGATGGCCCTTTTAGGGAGAAATATGTAAAACTTGGACATTTAGCTATAGAGAAAAATGAAGTAAAACATCTTACTTCAAACGTTACATAAATGATTTAAGATTAAAATGTTTTTAACTTTGCATAATATAATTTACACTTTTATGTTCCCACAAAAAAATGAAAATGTTTGTATTATTGTATGGTCTTAGTGTACGGTAACTAATGACTGTACAGTCATTCTGAAATGGGTTTTATGATATTATTAATTTTAGACCACAATAAGAGGCGGTGTCACAGACCTGAGCAAAAAAGTCACTCCTTCTCTCTTGGAGCCGCAAGTGCATTAAGCTAGGCTTGCTGCTAGTCAAAAAAATAGTTTTGCTAGATATAAGCTTGGTTACACCAACGATAATTTCTAGCTAGACATCTGCATTCCTGCGTATGCTACGGTTACACCGTGGCTGTTGGAGCGAATATGATTTTTACGAATCCGATAGCTTACTTAAGCTATATAATTATATTGACTGTTCTTAAGTGACCAGGAGACACCGCCTATCAGTTACTAATCTATCTGCCGGGTTTCTCTATTCAGACTACTAGCCCGTAAAGTGTTGATTTTAGATAAATAGAAAATACTTTCAACGCAACGACGACAATATAATTTAACACACAAATGTCTTAATTAATTTATCAATAGAAGTTTTAATACATAACAACATTAAACTTTTTAATGCGAATAATTCACTGAGCTTAGTATGAGGCTGTTTCTTTCATAGATAGAAACTCTAATATTCTTTCTGTAGATTTTAACTTTTATTTTCTCTTTCGGATTACTCGATTTTCACACACGATAATACGGTACTTTTTCAAAGTTTTTGGAACAAAATTCAATTAAAATTTAAATTAGAAAATTAAAATCGATAACAAATTGTTGTGATTTAATGTAATTAGATGATTAGATCTAGATTTTTCAAAATGATGGAACATAGAGTAATATTATGAAAGACGTTCCGAATCATTCGAAAATAATTAATTAAAGTTTATTAAAGTCAACAAAATTTTACATATTAAAAAAAAAAGTAAATAGTCCTGAAAAAGAGTTAGACTTTTTGTCCAGTAAGGCCTACTTCAAGTACAACGTCTAGTTTATATACTTAATTTGCTTTTTAAATTTTTCTAAAAAAAATATGTGTAAAATTTATATCAAACATCAATAATAATATGATTTACGGCTTTCATGGATAGTTATTAATTAAATTAATATTTTTCGATGAAAATGTATTAAAACAAGCATAATTGATTAATCATTATTATTTTTGATTGTTTTATATAAATGAAAAAATATAATAAGAATCTTGTCAGACATCATAATAAAGATTAATATAAATCACACCGATCAGGTGAAATTTGTAAAAGCAGCTAATAAATTAAAAACTATCAAAGCAGTCGTTTATATGTTTTTACTGTCAATTGTCACGTTCTGAATGACGTGAGATTTTTTGCTGTAACTTGTTGAGATAAAGAAAGATTTTATCTTTTGGAACTACACTTAGTAATACTCGTTGCGAATTGAAGTTGAGTCACGTACTCTCAACACACTAAGCTAGACAAGGCACGCATCTCTTTCCAATTTATACGACCAGATCGAATCGGCTTTTCGTTTCGTGAGTCTAAAAATGTCCAGCCAGGTAAAGTTGCAACCAAAAAGAAAATGGAAGACATAAAAAATAGAATGAAAATAAGAAAAAGAATAATAAACGAAGAAAAAAAAATAAATCGAAGGAAATAAAGGTTCGTTTGCGACATTTCTTTTCTGGAAGCAGTGTCAAGTATTTGCGAAAACAAAAGTCAAGTTGTGTTTCAGAAAGAAAACGAAAACTTGTAACAATGCCACGGCAATTTGTGTGGAAAAATTTCGAAATTTCTTCTTCGTTTCCATCTTTATTTCAAACTTCTACAAATATCAAGAAACCAAGAAATAAATACAATAGTTTCATAATTATTTAGGAATTATATTATTTTATTTCTATTTTGGGATTCTTGGAACAATCGCCAACATGAGTAAAAATTTTATTTCTTAAAAACCTATGAAGAAAAACACATTTTTACAGCTATGATTTATGGTTAAAATAAAATTCTTCTATTGATCTAGCATTTATTTTATTTTTTTAATGAGAATTTATATGTTACTAGCTTATTCCCGCGACTTCGTCCGCGTAGATGCTGTTTGCCTGGTATAAACAATAAAGAACTGTAGGAATTAATGTACGAAAATTATTATAGTTTTTTATATTTTCATTTTGAAATGGATCATTTTTAATAGATAAAGTAATTACATAATAACCCATTACCTTATAGTTTTGGAAGGGTTAATATCGATCTTTCCTTATATATCTATTGAAAACATAAAAAGTAGAATAAATGTAATAAAAAAAATAATATACAACGAAATAAAAACAAAATGACAAATCAAAGAAAATTAAGGTTTATTTGCGACCTTTTTTTTCTGGAGATAGTGTAAAGTTTTAGCGAAAACAAAAGTCAAGTTGTACAATAAAAACAACGTAAACTTGTGAGAATGCCACTGCAATTTGTATGCAAAATTTCTCAAGTTTCTTATTTTTTTTTATGTTTATTTTCATATTCTTTCGTGTGCAAACTTCTACAAATATTGAGAGCAAGACCAAGAAATCGAAGCATGAAATTTAGACTTTTACAAAGTCACGGAATATTACTAAACGGTATTAAAGAAGATCTGAAGAATCTTTTTATTCTTTTTTATTCAACAATAAAGTTCAAGCTGGCACAGTTTCGAATAAACTGTTTCAAAGTTCGTCATGAAAAAGACTCCAAAAGACACAAAAGAAAAAAATGTGAAACCATCAGGTTGACAATAGGTTGTCTTAAAATATTTTTTATATTGTTTAATAGAGAATTCATACATGAAACTCAAAAAATTTGTTCCTACAAAGCTTTTTTCATTTTTTTTCGCCATCTTTAAATGTCAAAAAAATGTTATTATATTATTCTGGTAATAATTTCATAACAGAGAAAAGTTTTATGTGCAAAGAATAATTGATGTACAAAACAATAAGGGTTGAATAAAAATACATTCCAAAAGAACAGAGAGAGAAAAAAAGTATGATTGCGACAAAATGCCAAGCACTCGAAATCTCCTAACGAAAGTCAACGTAAATAAACAAAATAAGCATCCCCTTTTGTTTATCCCCCTTCGCCATCATAGTGACGCTTGCAATGTGCTTTCTCTTGTCTCAAGGAGAAGCTTCTGAGGTGCCCGGTGATTTATTTAACTTTTTTTCTCTTTTCCACTAGTGTACGCCTCATCACACCCAAGTAAACTCATCCTTGCTAACTTGTTCCCGTCGTTTTCTTTACATTTACTTTTTCCTCCTCATCTTATCCCTACTTTTCTTGTACTTCTCTGTTTTGCTTTTCACATTTTTTTCGTATTTATTTTCACCCTCCTATTCTTCTCTGACAAAATAGTCGAACTTTTGTTTGTTTACCTGTCGGAATTTCCTCGAGATTTCTTGCTGTATCAAGCAATTCGTTTATCTCAACAATTTACCATCATGTATTTCACATTCTTCTTTCGAGGTATATACATAATTTTCTATGTTTCTACCTAAACGATACTTTTTCCGCCTCATTTTTTGTCTTACTTTTTTTCGTCCAAGATCGTTCTCTCCCGAGGTTTATCTACAGTGTATTTATCTCGGAAAAAAGAGATATAGAAAACCATCGTCCTCGACTTTTTCGCTACTTTCGAGCAGTCGACCACGCGCAGTAGTGTTGGGACAAAGAACGCACTGGAGAAAGATGAGAAACATAGAGGAGAATATAGAAGGAAAAAATAAAGAATCGCAGTGGATAAAGAGACAACAAAGCTCGAGTGGGATATAAAAATGGTTCTTGTCTGAAAAAAGTCCAATAAAAATTTCTTAAATTTCCCAGAGGAATAAATTCTGTATTTTCTGCTTGGACGTTGTCGAGAGAACCGATTGAAGAGTCAAACATGAAAACAGTTTCTAAAAACAGAAATTTTCTCATTTGATTTTTAGATTTTTGTTATGACAATCAATATTTTTTTATGCTTTGTTTAGGGTTTTATGTTATTTTTGCCTTTTTCCTTTTCATCAATACATTATGATGATGTTTATATTTTGAAGCTTTTATCTACAAATTAATTCATTTCCATTGCAGGTGTTGAGGCGCCATCAAGCAACGATTCGATCCGTTTGGAAGCTCCTCTTGTTAATGGAACTGGTGCTCTTTACGTAGCTGCCACCTGCGCGTGTGCATTTATTCTCGTAGTTGGAAGTGTCGTTAGTGCTCTTTACGTACGAAATAGCAAAGCTCGAGTACAAGAGTCACAGTAAGTATTATAAAACTTTTCTAATACCATCAAGAGTTAGAAAGAAAAAATTGAGGAAAAAAACTTACTTTACTTTTGATAAAAGCAGGAAATCTATTTACATAAAAAAGCTTTGGAATAAAATGCACTATCAACCTTAATACATTCAAGTTAAAAATTGAAGTATCGTTGAAAACAATCAAAAATTTTTAGTAATATTAAAATGGTTAGATTTTTATAGAAAAGTTTCTAAATTTCTTAAGCTTAATCAGACATAAAGAGTTAACTTTCACGCTTTTCAAAACATCTATTTAACCATTAAGTAAGGTAAGAACAATCAATTGAATTGAAACTATCTGCTAACTCTCAAGTTTTAATTGTTCATTAAATACGTAATGTTTGATTGTTCTTGATATTAAAAATTTATCAATCTTCCATAAAATTATACAATGAGTATCTGTAAATAATGATAATGTTTAGCTTGCAACCCTATCACAGCAAGAGTGAAAAACTACCTTTTGATGTAAAGATACCAACATTACAAATCTGACTTTTAAAAGTGCATTGTTAGTAATGGAACATAAATATCAGTGCCTTGAATTCTTAATTGATGTTTTATGTATCAGTAGTAGATGGCTTATTAGATAATTCGAGTTCATTGAATGTGGATGTGTATTTCTTGTCCTCCACAATATTTATTTCGCAATCTTTAAATGGTTCTCCAATGTATGAGGACCCTTCTTGCATTACTTAAATAACAGTATTCAGTTATTACGAACAAAAATATACTCACAGAATTATTTTTTAATTGTTACTACATATTTTTAGAATATTTATTACTCAAAATTTTGTCGAAAGTAGTTAAATAGCGTTCATTTCAGTTTCCTTCCATTTCAAAAAGTAAATAATATTTTTGTCATTGCTCTACATAAAGTTAGATTTTATTCCCCGCTTACAGGCAATAAAATACCACTTTTTTGTCTCGCATAAAATGACAAAATTTGTTTACACGCATGCTTACACACATTTCGTTGTTTTTTACCTGGCAAAACGTGTTACTTCATTAACCTCTAAGTTGAGAATAAAATATAATCTTTTGTGACAGTATGACGAAAAAATTTATTTCCATCATGGGAGTAAATGTAAAAAACTTCAATCCGCAAGATTTTATCTATCACCGTCAGCTCAGGAGACAAGATTTATCTCACAGATAACATGTTTCACTTCACTCCCTGAATGCAAAATCTACTACTATTAATTAATTATTAAATTCAACTGTACAACAGCTAAACAGATGTTATAAATAATTACACCAAAATAAATTTATACTATTGATATATTTAAACATTGATAAATAATGAAATTATCAGCACAACACTGTAAATCCAAGTGCATTCTTGTTACACATCTAAACGTGTTAAATATGGTGTTACCTATCTGATTAACATTGTAGTCACTTTTTACACACTTAGAAACACATGAAAAGTGACTACAATGTTAATCAAATGGGTGACGTCGTATTTAAGGCGTTTAAATGTGTAACAAGAATGCACTTGGATTTGCAGTTAAGAACAAGTAATTTGGTAAATTCAAAACGCAATACAATACTCAAAACAAATACAATGTAGCATAACTAACATAGATGAAACATAGATAAACATAGATGAGTGCTAAGAAGATCAGCCGTTATCGATAAAAATATTTTCTTTGGAATTGATCATTTGAATAGTTGACACCACATCAAGAAATTGTACCATCATTGTATTTAGTATTAATCAAATAATTTATACTATTTGTAAGTGAATAGATTACATCAAATATTATCCAGGGAAAATATTTCATTAATTTAATCTTTATTCAGACCACGATATTTAGTAAAATTCGTTTTTTTATAGGAAAGTATGAAAACGGACTACAATTGAACTTTCTGTCTACTTTTTTTCATTCCAAAACGAGTTTTAACTAACATTACTTTTGCAAAACAAATAGCATATGCGTGATACATCAAAAAGAAAAATTTTTTGCGAGAAAAAAATAGATTTTTACCGAGAAGTGTAAAAAAAAGAGCGGGAGAAAGCAAGGAGTAGTGAAATATAGAAAATTTGTAGGATAAGCGGGATTCGAGACCTCCAGCTGGATGAAATATCCTTTCAATAAGTTGGGTGATCTGTCGGTCGCTTGGCACCGCTCCCAACATTTTATTACATGGCTTTCCTGCTGTTCAAGGATTTCCTTGAGAACTTGAGGAGGATGTAAGACTGTGGACGTAAGAAAGAATGCAAGCAGATACTGAGTGGTGTGCAAAAGGAGAATCGCGGAAAGACGAAAATAGGAAACTGCGGCAAGAAGCCTTGTGAGGGGGAGAGTGATTGTCTTTCAGGATATATTAGCTCTTTTGAGACACTACTCCGAATAGATAACGTGGCAAAGAGGCAGAAGAGATGCGCAACCCCTCTCAGTAGTCTCTCGTACGCTCGGCAAAGCGGCAAATTTTACTATGGTACTTGTTATGAAGAAGGATCTCGTCCAACGCATTTTCATGTATTGGTACTTTGGGCATTCCGAGTTGTCTTTGATCCAATTTCGGTTGAGCTCTTCAGAGTAGTACAGGATTACGCTCGAGTAATTTCATTTAATGCTTTATTATTTTTTATTGGTTTGAAATGAATATTTCTTTTATTTCAGCCTCACAAATTTCAACGCATTTTACAAAAACATTATTATCTCGCTTTGTCAAGCGATTCATTTATTTTCATTTGTTTGCTCAAGCTTACGCGAAGTAATATTGCAACTCGTTGAGTATCATTATTTATATAACATTGGTTGTAAGACTTTATGTGATATTAAATTATAAAAAATTATTAACACAATAGAAGTATTTTTCTAAAAAATTAATTATATATTAACTGAGATAGTCAATGTCAAATTCGTTATTGAAAGTACTTTGAATCATCAGTGTTTTTTGAAGATGATAATGACTATACGATAATTAAATGTCCTTCTGAGCATTCATTCCACTTTGAGTTGACTTCAGAGTGAGGAATTATCATTTTCGAACAGGACATTTCTTATAATTTTGAAGTTGGGCTAGTTTAATATTTTTATTTAATGGGATATTGCTACACCTTTAATGAATAGTTTATACTTTTCGCTCATACTGAAAATAGTACATTGTTAACCAAGGGAGCAAAGTATAATATCCCGACCTGGGTGTAGAATTGCATTCCGAGTTGAAAGCGAGGGTGGCGAACACCCAAGTTAGTTGTCTGTTTTGAGGTTGAAAAAGTGATGTTCTTTCTCCCGCAGAGAAAGACAACACCACTCTGGGCATGCGTACAGACCATTTTTTGTCTTTTAATACGGGATAGAAAACGTCGCTTTGGGACCTGAAAACGGGGAGCAAACTTTAACTTAGAGCAGTGGTATGGGAAAAAAAAATTTTCAGGCCCTATTAAAAATGTTTTTTCAATGTATATCTATATTACTGAAGAAAATGGATTTTCAACAGACGAAATTGTTTTGTTATTAAACTTACAGAATACTCGGGAACTAGAAGTTCAACCTGCACTTCTTGTGATAATTCTGATATTTAAATCACGTTTAAAACACTGCCGCATGTCGGGAACTGATTGACATTATTGACAGCTTTGCCTAACAACATTTTGATTTAGAAACCAATAGTTTGTGCTGTTATTGTAAATCAGTTTCTCACATCACTCTTCCTAAACTCCTTGGGATAAGCTATATAATCTAAAATTACAGAAACTACACATGGCTCAGGTTTCTCTCTAAAACCAGTAGCAGAGGCTTCGGTTGATTCCTCCCGGATTTGAATCCTGTACCGAAATAAATAAAATTGCTGATCGGACAGTTTTCATAGTAGTATAATTTACTATGACTTTGAAAGGCCTAAGCCATTGTTTAAAAATCCTATAATTTCTGTAGCACTAGCATTAAATAGATCCACATTATTCTCATGAGCATATTTTCATCAGCCTTTTAAATTAACTTTAAATTCTTTTATTGAAAATAAGATATATTTTTACAGTTGACTAATTTAATAAGGTTAAAAGGATATTTTTGTGAATTTTTTTAGTCCAGTTGTATAGGAAATAAATACTTTTTTGATCAATTTTTTCTTTAGAATAATCAAAGGTCTTTGATGTTTTTCACAATTGTGATATAGTCGATTGAACTCCACGCAACAATTTGATGCGCCCACAACTGATGACAAATCGATTAGAATCTTCTTTTTTCATATTTATATATTTTTTGTCGGATCGTTCCCTTGGAAATTTTAGGCGGATTTACTCCCCTCATATACTCCTCCCAGTCTCTTTTTCTCTTTGGACATTCTATTCCAATAACGCACACCAAACTAGGGACGGGACCCTTTCTATAAAATCTCTTTGCCCGGAGGGCAGAACAGTAATTTTGAGCTGTACAAGTGTTCTTCAATTGATCTTGAGTGTGCATGGTGTGGAAATTTCCACGTAACTTTGCATTAACTTAAAACTATTTCTACTCAATATTCGCAGTGATTATTAATCTAGTAAATTCCGACGAAATTAGTCACTTTTTTTTTCAATTACCAAGTTAAACCTGAATAATTTACTCAGTAGATTAATTCAAATGTGAAATATTCAAGTAGCTCAACTACTATAAATATAAAAATCTTTTAAAAGAATGCTTTTAATGGAATAAACAATTAATGCAAATTTTAAGATAACCAAGGAGAAAATTTTTTCAAGAACGTATATAACACTGCATTTTAGAAAAAAATAATCGCATTCTAATAAACAAGGGTGCGTTTTGAAAGAAATTTTTTTATTATCTTTCCTTTGAAAAAATTTTATAAAAATTTGTTATCGCTCTTCATCACTCCACTAAAAATTGATAACGTATTAGCAACCTTTTTTCTTTTGTTAGTGTTTTTTGTTCAGAAATAAATTTTTAAATTACAGTAAAATATGGAAAATTTTATATTAATCAAATAGAGCATTCATTTAAAATAATTTCATTAATGTATGTAATTGAAAATAAAGTTAAACTTTCGTAAAGCTGATTTAAAATCGTGTATGACTTTTTCATCTCAATAAAAAATAGTGTTTAGTTCTCCGTGATATTTCTGTCATTTCCGGTTTTTTTCCGTGGAAATAATTAAATGTAGAGTTGGAAATTGGCAGAAATATTGTTTCTTCAACAGTTAATTACTTATTTATAAAAAATCGCATAGGGGAAAGGAGGATCAAGTGAAACGCTCAAGAGAATGTACTAATTTATTAAAATAAGTTGAAAAACCTTTATTGAACTTTTTGTTTATCAATTTTTTAATTTATTATTGTATTAAAAATTATAAAAATTTGTTAATATAATGGTTAATTTGTTGATTTACATTTTTTCTTGGTGTTCCGCTTTACCCCACTTTCCTCTTCATATAAGTTTTATAAAAAATATTTTTTCGTCATACCGGCGCGGAAAGTTCACTTTTCCATTAGAGAGGGGTTGAACTTTCCACACAGGTATGACGAAAAATCATATTCAGCCCTAAGGAGGACAATTAGACTAGCTTAAACCACGTGTTTACCACCCTCGCCTTCGGCTCGGGTTGTAATTTTACACGTGGTTCAAGCTAGACTACTTTCCCTCCCTAGGTGTGAAATATACTATTTTTTTCTCCTAAATTGGGAAAAGTCTGCCTTAGTAATGGTTACTTGGTGGTGAGAGCTGATAAAAAATCTTCAATCAACCATGATAGAAGACAGAATAATAAGCTTTGAAATTCACCCTTGTTCATCAGAATTCGATTATTTGTCGCCCACATTGAGTATTTTAAGAATCACTCAGATCCATTATTACTTCAAATAACCTCTATCTTCGTTAAGCAGTATATTTTTTAATAACTAAACTTTGTTATTAAAAATATACTTTTATGTTGTTATCAACAAGTTGCTTAATGAATATACAATGCCAATAAAATTAGTGTCATGAATATCAATTGAGCTTGAAGGATGTAATTTGCAGAGAAACAAGAAACTTGTGCGAAATCCAATTCATTGTTATGGTCATTGGATCTGCGTTAATCACTCGTACGTTGCAAGCATTCTGATAAGCATCAATCCCCTCTCGTACAAAGCGACGAGTTAACGTATTTAAGGATCCACTTAGGTTACCCAACTACGCCCTTGCATCTCAGCACAGAATCTCGTTACTGGGGAAACTCAAAATGAGGACAATGCTTGGAGATGTGACAGCAATAGGCCCCTCTGCCAGCCTAGAGCAATGGATCCCGTTTACTTGGCGATCTTCCGACCCTTCGGGTAATATGCAAATAACTCGACAATATCGCACGACAGACTCCATCTCTCGTCTTATCGAATCGAACATAATATACGTACGTATGGAGATGACGACCAGAGGGTGCGTACTTTCTCCCTTTTTATTTCTTTTGTCACATTAGCATATTCCCAAGAATTGTTAAAAACCAATGAACATTCTTTTCATTTTTGCTCCGAGATATGTCATGATGTGGAAGAAAAAAAAAGATGCTGATACTTGGAAAGCTATTTACAAGTTCAAAATTCCAATAAAAAATCTTTTTATTCTCAAAAGTACCTTGTACTCTCTCATTATCTCATCCATCAGTCATGAGTATAGAATTTTTTTTTTTACTGTGGTTGTCTTGACCACATGAGAGATTGTGAAAATGTCAGTATGGAAATTGATAAATTTTTTTAAAGTCATATTTTTAATATCCTAATGTTTATAAAAGTTATGTAAATGACTATAATTGTATGTTATTTTCTTACACATAAAACTTTGAATACAAATCTTCAAAATTATTGTAATTCACGTTTTATCACCAAGACTATAATTTTCTTGAAGAGCTAACTTGTTAGAGAATTGTAAAATAATGGAATTATCAGGAAAGAGAATAGATCAACACTGTTGAAATTGTAAGTCTAGTACTAATGTATTCGTCTTAAACGATAACATTTCAATGTGGACTAAAGTAGCATGCGATTTGGGTGATTTCAGGAAGACGTTACCATGCTGTAGTTACTCAGCAGCCGGGACAGGCGGTCTAACCGGAAGTTCAGTGCTCGTAAGGGTAGATCCAAGACCAGGAAGTGCTAACTCCGGAAGCTACGCGACTATCGCAGACCTCGAGCCTTTGTACGCAAGACCGTGCGGTTCCAGAGCGAGCTATTACGCGGCCAGTCACGTCACAAATGTCAGTCAGGTGAGAGTCATGTAAATGAACAAAAGAAAAGTATCCACTTCCAGTAATAATTATTAACTGCTCAGTACAATTGAATCATTACAATAGAAAATTTTTAAATAAACTGAAGATAAAGAAGATCACTTCTATACAAAAATACCTCCTTTATCTCAACTGCTTGGGAAAGTATCTCCATAAAAGATATGCAAATGTGTGAATTCTCTCAGAGTGAATGTTGAGTTTGCGGAGAAGGCTTTATAGGAACTCGTATCATATCTTGGCATGCCATTGTACATGTTTTCGAGATGTGTTGTTTCGTTTTCTATTGAAATCAGTGTCTCCTCAAAGACGATTTCGTATAACTATGGGTGTCATATCGGAAACAGAAGGTGGATGAAGTAGAAGGAGACTAGATGGAACAGTCTGAAAGCACAAGTTGACTCTATCTCTGATAGCTCCTGGTGAAAAAAAAAAATCTTCCCCTTTTATTGTAATTGAATTTTATATTTTAATATCTAGTAAATTATTTAAATTCCTCGACTTCACAAATTTCTCTCTATCTTTGTACCGTAGGGATTTTAAAGATAAAAATTTAAATTAAAAATATGATTTTGTTTTTTAATTGATTAAAATTAATATAGATGAACTATCTTATCTTTCCGTGAAAGTAATATTTTATTAATAACTCTGCCTCCTTTCTATGAGTTTTACAATGAATGTTGGTAAAAAAATTTAATAAAAGATTTGAAAATTTAATGAAACAATGAACTAATTTTCAACATGCTTTGTCTCATTATTATAGAGAGCACAGTCTCAGACGCTTTCATATGAGTGGAAGTCTTGCTGCGGAAGTAACAAGTAAATGAAGTAGAAGGTGAAGAAGGTGAAATAGTAGAAGAAGCAAATAGAAGTCAGAAGAGAGACAGTTTTTGCTCGAGGAAAATTTGATTTCCCTGTAACCGAGCAATTTTATCTTTCTCTCTTTCAGCTTTTATTTCTCCTTAACCCTGACTCAACTTCACTTCTCCAAGTTGTACTCTTCTTTTTGCTGAATGCGCATCGGAAGCGGAAACCGTGCGAGACGTACACCAAGCGAGTGGCTCAAACTTTATCGAGTTTGCGGTCGAGTGAATCGCTTTGCCCAACTTTTCTTCAATACTCTTTTAGCCTTCGTTTACTCTTTCTATCTCTTTTTTTTAGCTAATCCTTCGCATACTTTCCAGCTTTTATTTCAGCCATTTCAACCCATGTCGATCAGAAACAAGCATTTGAACGTGGGTATATATGCCCAGTAAACCTAACGAGTCAATATGTTTTTTCCCTCTTGTTTTTCCCAAACCTCCCATCGAAGAATTTCAACAGCGTCGTTACTTCTTTTATTTTTTCCAACTTACAAGAGCGATTCGGACGCTTTGAAGCGCTGTGTGCGCGCAATGGGATCAAGAAAGAAAAGCATAGGTTTTCCCGCATCCAAAAGACGCCTTGTTGAGAAGGGAGGAATAGAAAGGGAACAAAAATAAATGCGAAGCTCGCTGCGTTTACTTTTACAGTTCACCCCGTTTTACGGTCTGATATTTCTTTCATCTTCACCACGTTTTCTCACTTTTTTTTCTTTTCTCTTTGTAGAATACCTTTACCCTCACTGTTGCAGTTTTTTTAATCTTAAGAAAACCATTATAATGGACAGAAAAATTGTGAGTGCCAACTAGCTGTAATTCCTTGAAAAGCGAGATTGTTATAATTATTACAAAAAGGCAAAAAATATCCATATGACAAAAAATATATTTTAAAAAATATATTTTTTCCATTTGGGTAATATTATTAATAATGGCAAAATGGAATTTGCTTGAAATTTGTCAATAATTTTTTTACACATTACGGCAACAGCTAATTAACCGTACAGAATCCTCGCTATAAGGACAAGTTTTACACCTCGTTTCTATCTTTAATTACTGAATAATTTCAAATAAAATGATTCCTTCAATATTGCTACATCTTCTTATCATTTAATTTCCTGATCTCAGTTGATTTTGATTCAATAAATATTAAAAAAAAAAGTGATGAATTATTTAAAGTGTTTAATAATTAAAAACCTAAGTGTTTACAATTTTAAATGCCATAAATTAGAGCACTTTGGTAAACGGCAAGAAGCATTTAAAAGTCGTCAACAAAATTGCCATAGTACGTTTATGATGTTTAACATTGTAAACACTTTGAGTATTTAGTTACTTAACACTAAAAAAACGAAGGTATCATAATAATCGAAATCGGAGTAATTAAAGTAATGAGTAGGCGATAAAAGTTTCCGTTTGAAAATGATACACATCAGAGAATAAATTGAAAACAATATACTTAATGTGCAATATATTTAAAATATCGAAGCTTACATTTTTTAACTTGATATTACTTTCAATTAAAAGCATAATTATATTCAATGAATGTCAATTGAATCGATAATGTTGTGTAATAATTGGTGTTTATCGAAAACTCAAAGAGTTATTTTTCTTATTAGTTGTGTTCTATTTAGGACAGAGAGATCAGTAACAATGATTCAATTCTATTGTAATTAGAAACTTGATTATCAATAAATCATGTAACATAATACAAATAATTGTTCATAATGAGAAAATTCATGGGCACTTAAAGAATGTCTACATAATAAATAAACACGTTAATACCATGGTCATCTATTGTTTAATTCTCAAAAAAACTTCTCACAAATAGCTATTTACGTTAATGACCAAAAGTATACAGCTTTATCAAAGAGAATATCTCCCCGAGTATATTTACTCGCACTGATTACTTAAATTCGTGTAATTTTAGCCATGAGTATAAGTGCAATTTGTCACGCTTGGTGTTCATGACACCAAGATCTTTTATATTAATTTTCGTCTAGAAGCAAGAGAAATCCTACACCAGTACCTGTACGTCCCTAAGGGATATCTAGAGAGTCAGAGAAACATCCGTGGAGGTACGAGATGAAGGTTGGGAAATTAAGAGTTGGGGTAGATGGAAAGTTACACACGCGGTTGGTTCTCTTCTCGAGCAACCCTTGGACAAAGAAAGTACCATGAATATGTAGGGAAAACAAGGATAACTGTGACGGATGAATGCGAAGAATAGAAGTGAGGCCAAAAGGACGAAACTGAGGGGAGCTTGCAAGTAGGTCCTGTGATTGTTTCGGCTTTGATCTCGGATCAATTTACCGAGTATACGCGTATGCCTTCTCAACTCACTTTGGTGTCGTCTAAAAAGCTGCTGTAACATGAACATTTCATGGAGAATCGCAAAAATTCGCCCCTATTTTCTCTTTTACCCCCTTTTTAACTTATACTCTTCTCTTGATCTTGTAATATTGTAGAAATGTAAAACGATACACTTGATATCAGTTTCTTAAGATTATTATGTGAGGTATACATGATTCTTTACTTTATATGTATAGTTTTAGATCTATGTCTCTCGAGAATTACCCTGGGCCTTCCTTGCTTCGCGTGGCTGTTTCTTTACTTTATGGTCTTTCATGTGAATAAATCTTGAGTTTGACGAATGGTTTCAAGTTTAACGAACTTACTAAATAATTCTGTTGGAGTTTTTTACGAGTATACGACATAATACTGAATACAAATACATTCTTAGTGTAAAAAGGTACAATAAAATTGAAAAAATCGATATAAACCGACATTTGTTGAAAGGAATCAAAATTATTGAATGTATTGGAGTATATTGATTTTCTATTTTATATCTATTGTAGAAACAAAGTTCGGTCCATTCTTAAACATCGTATTTAGTCAAGACTGGTTACACTAGGTCGATATTGGACCAAGAAGTGGTCAAGGACTTGCTAATCTGCGAAACTGAGTATTGCTTTTAAGTTAAAGTGATTAGAAATTGTTCAAAATACAAAGAATAATATATCATGGACTAATCGAAAATTATGAAAGAATTGTAAAATTGATGGTAGCATCAACTTAGACATGATCTTATTTTCAAAAAAATGTGATAATCACTCTTGGGAGTATGTACGTATTTAAAATGTAGTATGTAATATACATTTGAAAATATATGTAATATATCGTTAAATTATCTTCAGATCTCTTCATTTCTTAAGGTCTCGAAGTTATCTTGTGCATATTTCTGCATGCAAGCACTGACTAGTAGGATCATGAATTAAATACTCTAGTATTTATATTAAGTGATGAACATGCTCATAAAATTTTTATGAACTAGAACAGTAATTACTGTCTCCAATACGAATACAACTTTATGATACTAAACATGAAATATTCGTACATATAGTATTCATTTTACAATATTATACATAAAAAAATATGTAATTTGTAATAAACGTTGACTGAAATTCTACTACATTTTTAAATGATATCTCAACTTTTTATATGAATTTTGAGAAGAAAGACATATTCAATTTATGATTGAAAATAATTTAAATAAACAACTATAAGACAGCTGAATTGCTCTGCTCACGAAATAACATTATTTCATAAATTAATTAAGAATATTTAAAGTATCGTAAAACACTCCGAAATAGTACCATTTAAATTTATAAACGAACAATTGCGTTCTAAATTATTTTTAATCACAAATTGGATATGTTATTTTTCTTCAAATTCTCTAAAAAATACAGTTGGAAAAATAACCTTAGAGAATAGTTCAAGTTATTCAAGAATAAGCTTGACTTGACTATATACCTTTACAATGTATTATAACTTGTACCTGTATATCTATTATAATTATCATATAGTTCACACATAGAAATATGTAACTCTGCTATGCTTTCTAGAAAAGAATAAGAAAATATTCGCTGTTTTGAAGTGATTTTTATTGATTTATCTAAAGAGTATAGTACGTCACATATATTGTCAAACACACATTATAAATATTGTAAAATATTTGAATTAATGTTACCTATATGTGTTAAACAGTGACGAACTTTTTATTAGCAATGCTCGACTGACTTGTTTATGTTTAGTGTACAATTGAGACTAATTTATTATTTTTTCAATCTTCGCATGATTATTTTTAATTCTTTTAAAATAATATACTTATATTTTCAAAAGTTAATATTTAATGTTATTAAAAACATAAAAGAATGAACTTTGAGACTTAGAAAATTGTAATTCAAATTATTTCTAGGAATTTTTAATATAACAAAAAATCAATTTTATCAACAAACATGATTATGTTTCTTGCGATGGAGGATTATTAATACCTTAAATAACAATCATTTTTTGATACATGTCCTGACACTGGAAACAAATGCATGGTAGTTTAATTTAGTTAATCCCATTGAAAATGATTGGTATTTAACTGCTGATATCGGGAATTTATATTCAAGTGTACTCACCACCATTGTAATATTTTACAGACGTACATAAATGTCTGTTAATATCATCCAACATGTAAGCGTGAATGCACATAACGAGGTCCTGTAATAATTACAGGCCTCGACCCACGATAAGCCGTGGAATTAGCGTATTTGCATTTTACTCGTCCACTAGTGGGACAGCTCGTGCGAACGAGCGAGTGGTTGTACTCTATGGCTTCGTAAATTATTTCCGATTCCAATATTGGACTGAGCATGCTGGCTGATTGCATAACCCGACATAGTCACTTTTCTGCAGAGGTAATTTTTTTTTTTACTACACCGCTGAGAATTGGAGTTGAAAATTGGAACTATTTTTTCTGAGTACTCATTCTCATGCTAATGGACTCGACGATTTAGCCAGAGGGTTAGCCCATTTCCAACCAACTTTTCTCAATTTGTCTCAACGAGATTGTGTCCAAATAAATTTTCATATAAAACTATCATCATTATTAACACAGAAAAAAATTTTCACTTTAATTTAATTTATCAAAAAAATATTTTTCATCCACACCAAGTTTTCTATTGACTTAATTTAACTTACTTTCATCAATTGCTTAATGAAAAATCTCTTCTTCCAAAACAAATAATTAAATAGATTCAACATATTTTACTTTTTCTCTTATTTTCGTATATTTTAGGCCATTTTGTTGAAAGAAAAGAAAAAACGATCCGTCAAGATAGAATTTTTGATGAAGTACTGTGTTTCATTAATTTCATTTTCAGCCAAAAAAAAATTATTTAAAAACATGATAAAACTTTTAACATACGTTTTATCATGAGTATAAAGTTTTTAATAATCTACTGTCAAATCCTTGCATCACAAGGGATTCTCGTGCTGGAGAATTGTATAATGCTCTTTCACCCTCACTTCGATTCCCCTCGATTTCAATATCATCCGTAGGGAGTGGATAACAGCTTCTCAATCCATCTGTCCTGTCGCAGTTGATGCGTTTCAACTTTTTCATATTAACAAAAGCTCAATGTAGATGCAAAAAATAAGTCGATCCAAGAAGTGATGTAGTACATTGACAGAATTGTATTGTGTAAAGGAAATAACAAAAGAGAAAAATGGAGAAAGCAGTAGGAGAGAAAAAAATAAACATTCCATGATGATAGAATAAAAAGTGTGAAGGGTAAAGGTAAAACTCCGGAAAATTGAAATTAATGAATGACTAGATCTTTTCTGTCCCTTTCTCAGTTTATTCTTCATGGCCTATAGCCAATGGGAAAACCCTTGTCTCTTTTCTAACAAAGAAGGATTGATATCTAGAGCGGTGATAAAATATCCGACGAGCAAAAGCTTTAATTTTCTTTCCCTTGATAAGATTCAGAGTTCACAGAAAACCTTTAAAGAACATCAATGATGTTCCTTGATACACAATGTCGTTGAAAACCTTTGATAACATTATTAAAGATTGTTCATGTATTTGAGAGTTATTTTATCCTTAACATTCATTCATTTTAATCGTATTTATGGGTTTATTAATGTAAAAACTGTAATTACGTAAAGTATCCGGTGTTCAGATATGATAAAAAATGTTATTTTTACTTGGACAACATTAAAATTATATTTTCAAATATATTAAAACATCAAATGGATATTGATTTCAAGTTATTAAATAATTCATTAATAAATCGTTTATTAATTGTAAATCTTGATGAAAAATAAACTCTAAGTTACTTATCTTTAACTCTAATATAAATATTAACCAGTTTGTAACAATTAATTAATGGTAGATAAATTTTTAATAATGATTCCAGACCACTGATCCTTGTGATAAAGCAAGAGCAATGGCCATACCAAGATCAGCTCTTCATTGTCGAAGTGTTGCTCAAGAGGGAACGTTCGGAAGGGTTTATAAGGGCACATTAAATGTTGCGGGACGAGAGCAAGAAGTTATTATCAAGACTGTCACAGGTGAGCTTATCTTTGTTAATATTCATTATCAACTTATCACTTATCAAACTTTGCTACTCACAAACAACTTTAGTCAGAATAGGTAAAGTAGAAATGTTGAATATCAACAAGAGATTAAACAGCTCAATAAAAATAAAAACAGCAAAAAATAAAGATGAAACATTTTTTCCACTTACAGAAGTGGCTTCTGCATATCAGGCATCCCTTTTGGTGGTGGAAGGGTCGCAATTAGCAGGGCTAGTACATGGAAATATAGCATCATTGGTAGCAGCATGCTTAGATAGTCCATGTCCGCTTCTTGCTTATGCAAGTTCATCGAGTGAACTGAATCTAAAGACCTACCTTACCGATGGTATTCATCACCCAGTCACTAGAGACCTGGTGAACGTTGGTGTTCAAGTTGCAAGAGCTGGCGCGTTTCTTCATGGACGTGGTCTTTTACATAGGTAAATCTTGTTTCTGTTATTATTCATAGTAGTATTATATTTTTAAATTTTGCTGTTCAACACACATTTTACTAAATCTAATTCCATTGTCAAGTTTAAGTCGATTTCCACATTAATTAAATTTATTTTCGTTTTCTAAAGAGATTATAGCATTAAACACATTCAAATAATTGAATTTACCTACCATCTTTTATTGATTTTTGAAAATAGCTCAGAAATGATTGCGATACCTTTAGGTTGACAGTTTTTATCTTGTTTTGGCTTACTTAAATATTTATTGTTCTGACTGTTTATCTGATATATTTTTAAATTTATTATTCGAATTATTTGTATGTCATTGAACTCCAAAATGAATAAATTGATATATCTCAACAGGGATATAGCAGCACGGAATTGTCTCATGGAACCTAATAGTTTTCGAGTACGTCTAGCAGATGCTGCATTAGCACGAGACTTATTTCCTCAGGATTATCACTGTCTCGGAGACAATGAAAACCGCCCAATCCGTTGGATGGCCTTGGAGAGTCTTGAACACAATCAGTACAGCACGGCAACGGATGTGGTAAGATCTAATTTACAATTTCAAGTAATGCCATCATTATCCTTACTACAAATGAATCTCAATGAAATCAATGGCATGAATTATATTAATTGAAAATCAAAAGCATATATTATAATTTACGAATGAAATTTTTTGTTTTTTTTTCAAGTGGTCATTTGGGGTTTTCTTGTGGGAATTGGCAACAATGGGCGGGCAACCTTATGTGGAGGTGGATCCCTTTGAAATGATGGCTTGCTTAAGAGACGGCTACCGACTTGTTCAACCCCGCCCCTGTCCAGATGAACTTTTCGCTGTAATGGCTGTCTGCTGGCTTGGAATAGCAAGAGATAGGCCAACAATGCCGCAACTTCTTGCATATCTGCAAGAATTTCATGATGCTCTTGGGGGATTTATTTGAAGTGTCTTATCCTCATTAAGAAAGATATCAAGTTTTTGGTTTAAAGATTAAAGTCATCCACAAATACCCCAGAATCTGCAGATAAAAAAATATTAGTGACCAGTCGATTCAATTTACCACGACGATCAATTGATCCAAATGATGAAGGATTCATTTTTCTTGATAGTCTATATAACTTTTCTATATAACGAATTGGATTCCGCGAGGACAATGGTATGGACTAGATGGAATTTTGATGGAATTGGCTTTCTATTCTCTTGCACTTCCCCTCTTATCACTCTAGAGTTATCCCAAAGTCGTTTAGGGGATGATTCAAAGACGAAATAACCTTAAGATGCTTCTAACGTTGAGACGAAGGAAATCGACGATTTTTTATTCAAGACGATTTGCCACAACGCCGCGCACTGGTTTCTTCTCGGCACACAGCCAGAGAGAACAAGAAAAGATTAAGGGGTTGAGACAGGGTGGGTTATAAATTGCGTCTCGAAAGTGGCGCGTTAGTGGTCCAAAAAGGCATTCCATGACAGGAGGAAAAATGAAAAAATAAGAACGAAAGTAGAAGGAGTATAGGTATATGGAGTTTATGGAGAAGAGAAAAAGAGGAATGGTTCATTTCTTCGTGTCGTAAAGAGACGCGAGGAAGTCAAGAAAGCCGAAAGAAGAATTGGAGCCACGCACAAGGAATATTGATAAAAAAATCTATAAGGATTTATATGGACTTTTATATATATAGATATAAAAAAAAATATATATATATATATATAAAGTATTGCCCTCGTATCGGGTGGTATTCCAAACGCTGAAAGTAAAAGTTGTGCTAATCGAAGCTCAACCATGAGCTGCTTTAATCAAACCGTATCTCAAGTCTGATGAAAATCAAATAGCGTGGAATTGAATAATATCAGCAATACAGTTTTCATATTGGTAAATATTTTTTTTTGTTCAAATTATTAAATACAAATACTTCTTTTTACAAACATATCTCTAATCGTTTGCGCAAGTTTTATGGTAACATTAAAATTAACATTATCCCTGTATTTCATTTCCAAAAGCAATGTATAGAAAGTTATAATAAAACAGTAATTCATTCAGATGTTTTAAATTGATGTAACGAAAAATTGTAAAATATTGTAGTATGTAGTGATGATTGAAATATGAATGAAGATTTAGTAATAATTAATCTTAAATGACTATAAATCAAATAAAGAAAGATAAGAAGATTCAATTGATAAAATCACTTAGAATCTAAATAGTTGAATTGCAATTCGCAAACGACTTGTTGATTTCCGTAGAGGGAACGAGGCCAATAAATGCGAAACTCGATCGCTCTTGACTCACGTAAATCTTTCTTTCTATCGAAGCGCCTGTCCTCAATTACGAAACTCGGATATTTGCAAGCAAAACGACAATGATGGCGACGAGAAGTATGGATAGTCACTTGTGCCGCGCGATAAAGCTCTTTAAAGAAAGAAATACCTTGTAAATCCTATTGTCGTATTTGACCTTCGATAAAACGAATACAAATTCTTGCGCAAACGAACGATGGAGAGTACATTGTATAACTCAAATAATTAGATACCCTGTATATTTACATCTCGTGAAAGTACATTTAACAGCTCTTTCACATTTTCAAGCTCCCTCACAATCATTAGATAAATGGAAAAAGCATTTGCAAAGTGTTGAGGATAACTTTAGGAAAGAGAAAAACTTAAGTAAGCAAATTTCTAACGGCTTTATCGCATTAAAACTTTTGTATAATTGATCATTTGAATAGTATTCAAGGTGAGAAGATATCTCTGTGCTTGGTTGCTCTTTTGTGCGACACTTTGCCAAGGTTTTTTCTCTTATTCTTTATCTCTAACCAAGACAAAAGCCCCAGGACGTAAAATGTTTTCTAAATGTACTCAATGTTTAAATGTCGCATGTTTCAATTCTACACGAATCTACTTATTCTTTACTAAAACTTTGACCCCATTTTATAATATGAATCTTGAGATATTTTTCCTCACGATTGAATGCTACCGCTGACAGTTGGTGCTAAAGTGCTATATAGTTCCCGGAATTTTTTGCCATTTTCAAATACACAGGTCTACAAAAACTATCGAATAATTATAATGTAAGATTTTTTTTATTATAATCTACTGATCTCTCTAGTTTGCAGTCTATTTTACTAAGCTCTTCACTGCCAACTCGATGATAAAAATTTTCTTACTATTTGTAAATAAAATTTTTATAAATATTTTTATCAAGAGTTTTAATGTTTATGATATTATGTACGATTTAATTAATACTTGTAATATTGTTATATCATAAAAGAGAAAAAAAACACAATTGAATCAAATTGTAATCAAAATGTGTAAATTTGTAGGCCTGCATTTTTTGTATGTCATATAATTAAAGCTAAAACTTATTATAATAGTGAATTGTTGTAATAAATCTCTATTACTATACCGCAAAATGAGAAAGATGATAAAACAAAAATTTCAACAGATGAATAAATAAAATAGTAAAAAAGTAATAAATACAAAAATGCTATCAATAATTCATACGATTGTCGTACTTTAAGTATTTATAAATAACTATTATACTCCTGAATGTTTTATGGAGGAACAGGGTAGGCTAAAGCTGCACACTTTTTCGCTATATCTTTGTACACGTGGAAACCACAAGTTTCCCTTTATTTCTTTATTTCATACCATTTTATACCACAGACACCAAAGTCCCTTGAGAGATATAATAAAAAGTCGACGGGGAGATAAACACTAAATCTTTCTTTTGTTCATCTCTCTATCGAGTTTTAATCCTTTTTGTTACAATTATCTATTTTTATTGGTATTAATATTGTAATTATCATTTACATATAAAAAAGACTGTTCCACGTACATTTGTAAATACTATCTAATGGCGAATAATAGGTGATGCGCCAAATAAGTTGATTTGTGCATATTTTATTATTTCCAATAACAATATTTATACTGTATGGCATTATTTTTCAATGGAAAATAAAATATACGTGTTATCAAATCATTTATTATTTTATCATCATTTTTTATTGCTATTATTAGTCATAATTTTTATTACTCTTTGACGTGAGATATATATAAGTATTGAAATAATAATAACAAGTATTATTAAGTTATATAATGAGAAAGTCACTTTAATTTAAGTAAATAATAAGAGAATAGAGAAATTGAATAGAATTTATTGGAAAAAAATAATTAAAATAGTAAAAAAATGAATAAGGATTGTATGATTCTTTTCATTTAGTCAATGAACAACCTCTTACTTGTCTAATACATACTTATAACGTATAGTACAACGATTTGACGAATTTTACCACTTCCTATATTATCTCAGCATTTAACTTTATGAAATCAAATTCAAATATTGTTAAAGCCCAATTATTCTCATCAATAATAAATTACATAGCTTTTCTTTGACACCTTATCAGTCAGCAAAGAGTTCATGATTCAATGTCGATTTTTTTTTGTAAAAACTGATTGTATTATCCTTATTTCAAATATTTATTCAATAGCAAAAGATATTTAAAAACAATTTATTTATTTACTTTACTTTATATTTAATAGTCGGTTAACGATATTTTGTGAATTACTCCCTTTGAACCCTTTGTGAATTACAAAACAATTTTTATGTGGCAAAATAGCACACAATTTAGGTGGGAGTTTAATTGAAAAGATAGTAGGAGGAAATATTCGAAAGAGAGACATCGGTATACGCATTATTTCTTAATCTTTTTAACTGAGAGCGAGAAAGGAATAAGCAGAGACCTGGCCCAACCAACCAACGAAAACGAAAGTGATGGAGAAAGTTGAGTATTGTTACGAAGTGTGAAATACGACGTATCAAGGAGTTAAGCTTCTCAACTCATGGTTGATGAACCTTTTTGATTTCTTATAATTCAGTTGATAATTTCCATGATTCGTTACAACTATTATCATCTATTATTATAGTGAAGGTTTCATTATATGTAATTATATTAGTATAGATTTGTTAATAGATAAAATTTATCGCTAGAGTTGAAATATAATTTCTTTTACTTTTCAACTTAAAACTATTCATACTCATTATCATATAGATATTGTCTTTGATTTTAGGTATAAAGGGGAAAAGATTTGGTACACGTAATGGAGTACAAGAATAAAAAATTATTATTATATCATATATTAGTTTTATTGATACTTTTATCATTAGAAACGTATTACTGTTATATGTATGAACAGTGTTGAATGTCTTTCTTAACTTTATCGGTTTTAGTACTTTAGATATTTCTTCATTTCGCTGATGAATATAAGCTCTAAAGAGATACAATATAACATACACCTAACTTTCTCCTCATTTAGTATTGATTCTATCGAAATGTCACTTCGATTCTCACGACCCATAAAACTTGCTTGTTATCTCATGTAGAATCCCCCCAATATTTCGATAACGTAATAATGATCTCCCTTTAGTCAATAGTACAAATTAAAAACTAAAATTTACTTTTGGTTGCTTTTTGTAAATCCTTGGCAATACTTTTTTTATACATAATTGTTTTTTTTCAGAGATTCTCAAATAAGAGTAATTATTATTTTAGAAGATATCAACGTAAACAAAATTTCATATTATATCTTCACTAAAAAGATTAAGAAAAAATCTATTGAATGAATGGCAATAAACTTCTATTTTATTAGAATCATGTTACTTTATTAAAATAGAAGATGTTATAACTTTTTATTGAACTCAAATGTAGCGATAAAAATGTTTTTCTATTGATATAAAAAATTCAACGATCTGTTTGGAGTAAAAGAAACTTTACTCCAAAAATCTAAATAAAGCATTTGGAAGTTTACTTTTTTTCTTTTCAAAACTATTTTTAAAAAAATTTTTGAAAAACTAATTTCTTTCTTTAAATTTTCTTAAGGGTTGTAACTACGAGAAAATTAATCATATAAAGATTGCTAAGTAATCATTTCAAAGTTTCAAGTATTTTTATATTTATAAAATACTCTAATGTACAGATCTTGTTAAATTAATTTCAGAATTGTTAGTTTATGATTACACTAAGAAAGAAATTAGTATCAATTTTTAAAGTTAGTTGTGATGAATAAACTTAAAAAGAAAATAATTATGATAGAATCATGTTTTATATTCATAAAAGTTTCATGGTGATTTTAGATAGAAAAATTCCCTCAAAAGAACCTTTCTTCAAATCTATCTTAATTTGAGAATTAATTCGTCAGATTTATTCAACACAATTCAATTTTAATTTAATTCAAACCCGTCTAATTAGAAAAAAAACTCAAGCATTTTATTCAATTAAGCGACTTTCAAAACTATTTTATATTTTTGTTGTTGAAAAAACAAATGCATATTTTTATGTCTAAGAATTTCTTAAATTATTCTACTATCGTAAGTACTCCAAGAGTCACACACAAATGCTTTTATTAAGTCTTTTATTCTCAACCGTAAGCATAACTCATATACTTATATTATGATAATTTTTGCCATATTTATGATCTACTAGAACTATTAACACAAACGCTCAGTAGTCATAATAACGCTCTGCTGCTCTCTGATGGTGAATACAGTCGTGAAACGTGAGAGGCGTCAACGAAAGTGTCTTACATAATTCGTTACACGGGACGTCCGTCCTCGACAACTACATCAGAAGAGTGTGTCGTCGCGCAAAGTGCGCGATTATGCAGACCCACGATTGCTTCTTTCTGGCCATTCCTAATTCAATATTTTTTCCTTTCTTTTTCCCTTCACTTCACATTTTATTCTAAAATTTTTATAACTCTCCTACATGACTAACAATTTATATATTCCTGAAACAAAAAAAAGGAAAAAACTGTGAAAAGCTCAACAATCGAACGAGTATTGATTTATCTGCATTCTATAGAAAAATTAAATGTCATATATTAATGGCGAAATGACATGTTCACATAAATATATATTTATTTAATAATCCTTTCAATTATGTTGATTCAATTTA